AATTCAACATTAATGAATCGATGTTACGGAAGTGGAAGAAGCGCAGTTTTGGGATTTCCCCATATTTCAAAAGTGCTTCATCTCTTTGCTATGACTGTTGCCATAATTTGCAGATGATAATGGTTTTAGCCGCTGCCATGCTTTCGACCCAAACAGGCGCCGCATGATGACATCATCAACATGCGCTATCACGATATAGTCAAAATCTCTATCGTTGGCCAAATTTATATCGTTTCTATCATATATCGTTTATATCGCCCACCCCTACTCTGAGGCTGGTAAAAACTCTGTACTGTACTGTTAAATAAAACTGTAACAAACAAGAAGAACTCAAATTAATGTTCTTCTTAAGCTGAAACCCAAAAGATTTCAGGGCTGGGCCAAGTCCTCAGTGATGCTAGCGACGCCCCTGTTACAGATGATCGTTGCTGTCTGAATACCGATGCAAATGTGGTGTTCGTGTGTGATTCACGCGTGATTTGTTACACTATTTACACTTAGTACGATACTTGGGTACGATGTAAACGCTCGCATTCAAAGAGCAGGTTACAGAAGAAAAGTTTCGCTCATTTTCTACCAAGTGAACAGACGAACTTTAAATCCATCCTGTAACCAGAGCAGATCATTCATATCTCGGTCTCTGCTGTTGTATTAACAATAACAGCAGAGAGTTTAGTACTGTTGATCGCGCTGTGTGAGAATCTATCGAGGCCGTGCGGCTACAATTAGCAGCAATAATAAAAACGTATATTACAAAACTCACCGGAGTCCAACGCGTGTGCTTCCACCAGAGACATTGTGTGTTACACTACGTCGTTTCCGTAGAGTACAACTAACCGCCCGTCAAAGGTTCCGTCCAGGAATTCCGATTTGTTCCACACGTATGAGGAAAAAAGCTTCTTCGTGTACTCGCCAATAAAACCCAGAAAAAAACACTGCGACGTTTGTTCTGTCTGCAACAGTAATGAAATGGCTTATTCGGGCCATTAGAGGTTAAAGCGGGCCGGAACGATCTGGAACAGGTTTCCGTGCTGTGCCAAAGTTAACCCGGTAGAAAGTGTAGCTCGGGCTGTGTCCCAGTTCAGACTTTTTTCTCCATCTTTATTTCAAGAGGAACAGGAACAACAAATATAATACACGGAGGAGACAATGTACTGCAAAATTATAATACAATGGAAGAGTGCGCCAAATTAAACAGGTAAGATACATATCAAAATTAAAAGGGGAAAATAAGAAAAAGGAATAAAAAATAAAAGAAAAACAAGCGAGAGATACAGTGACATTGAATAATTAAAGGACATTAAATATAGTACAAACAGTTACAGTTTTTTGTTGTGAGAGGAGCAAATTGTATTCACATAGAGTTCAGTTTCTTTCCTAAAAGTGAGAAAGTGAGGTTCCTTGCTTGAGAACTTTTATGGTATTTGGCGAGGAGTAAAATCAGATTGATGAGGTAAAAAGCATTCGAGTCTTTCCTGCTAAAGTCAGTGTAACCAAATAACACATTTTGGTAAAAACCCACAAAATTTGATAAGATGTTCTTAGAGATGAAACCAGCGATATCTTTCCACAAAATCTACGTAGACGTACAAGACCAGAATAGATGTGAGCAGGACTCTGGGACTCTTACAGAAGAGTGTCTATATCCCTCTTACATTTTTGAGGGAAGCATTTAACAGGGTAGAATCTATGAATTAGCTTAAATGAAATTTCCTTCACTTTGTTAGTAAGGAGGAATTTTTTTTGGCAAACACCAAACTTTCTTCCAGTCAATGTCCTAAAAAATAGACCAGAAAGAAATGGAAGGAGAAATGGAGACAAGTGACTCTTGAAAAAGAGACATAATCTTGGCATTCACACCTTTACAAGAGGAGAAACTAAATAAATAAATAAATACCAACAAAAGTGCGAAATAAGATTTGGTAATTTGACTGGTTCTTATACAGCTTATAGGGCTATATCTCATTCATAAAGAAAAATCACACGGACGAAAGTTTTTCCTCTTTTTCTTGTGTCGAGCGTGTGTCTACACAAGTCCAGGAGGTGGCGGTAAAGTACGTTCAAAGCTGGTTTGCAAACCCCACTAAACCCGAAAAGAAGAAGAAGAAAAGGCGGATCGTCGAGATCGTCGATCGACTGTTTCAGCTGAGTACGCAGCACACAGCCAACGCATTGGTGATGATTTTACGAACTTCCAGATAACCTGCAGCTTCACAAACATGACGGACTACGCCGAAGAGCAGCGGAATGAGCTCGAAGCCATAGAGTCCATCTACCCAGACTCCTTTACAGGTCTGAATGGCACGTAACGTTAAGTGGGATTGTAGCACGAAAGTAGTAGCTAGCTCATAGCTAGCAAGTACACGTTACTTAGCTTGCTGGTCTTGATGCATGCTCAGTGATCCGGGTAAGGAAATCCCAGAAGGTTGATTCTGTTCATCTGGACGTTTTCAGCGGGAGAAACGTTTCGTCCAGGGGACTTCTTCGGTCTCAGCTGACGGCAGGTTTCCAACCTTATAAACAGGACATTTGTACAATGACTGAAACCTTTCACGTGAAAAGGGAAAGACCATCTCTGAATCGAGGAGGGGACCTAAGGGTACACCTGTGTCCATCTTACAATGCTGTGATTGCAGCCATCTCTCTGTGAATGACACTCATCAGTGGTTGTTGATCAATGGTCATGAGAATTTGCAGAACTGACCTCCCAGCCCATCGTTAATCAGCTGTGCTGGTTTCAGTCATTGTACAAATGTTCTGTTTATGAGGTTGGAAACCTGCAGTCAGCTGAGACAGAAGAAGTCACCTGATGAAACGTTTCTCCTGCTGAAAACGTCCAAATGAGGAGCATCAACTTTTTGGGATTAGCTTGCTGGTGTTCTTGTATTTGTGAAAGGATACTCATATTAATGTCAAACGTTAAAATACTATTTCTATTAGCATATAAGCTATAAGCTTAATTTGACACAACACGGGAAACCTCACCCGGCCCGGACACGGAAAGGATTGACAGATTGATAGCTCTTTCTTTGATAGCTGTTGGGAAAAGCAAAGCTTGCCTGAAGTCTTTATTGTTATTGGTATCCAAATCTTTATTGTTTCTGGTTGGTAAAATAGTGAAATATGCCTCAGTTACCCAGCCACTTATGAAATCATGGTAATAGTGATGTTACTAATGAATGTGTACTTGCAGTGCTCTCAGAAGATCCAACCAGCTTCACCATCACGGTCACGTCTGATGCCGGGGAGAACGGGGAAAGTAAGTAAACTGATGAATGTGGTTGGAAAACGGTGTGTTGGTAGCACTGCAGCTGTTATTATGTCAGGTGTTTTAAACTGACCTGCTTGTTGCTTTCCATTATAGAGTGTGTGTATATATGCATGTGTGCATTTATAGCATATATTTAAAAGCAACTTAGCATTTGAAGTGGATCACGATAATAGGACAGTATTGTAAAACCTCTGGTGTGAAATCCATGACCGTCGAGCCCATCTGTGACGACCCTCTGACAGCAGTTGAAGGAACTGGTCCCAGTGATACTGCTTTGCTTCTGAGGATGCTCCCCTGCATGGTCGCAGGATCAGTTATTGTCTCAGTAACACAGCAAAGGCTACTTTAACGCACCCCACTCAGGGCCTCCAGGAAGGCTGGGTCGGCTGCATGATTGATTGATGAGCACGAATAACAAGACCCTTTACTTGACCAGAATGAAAGCAATCCTCTCGTCCACTAGTGAAAACCCCACTATGTAGGCACTAAGCTGGGGGGGGGTACACGTATATCCACCCTGTTTGACTTTACATGCGGTGAATAAAGAATAAATGAAAGTTTTATCTTTAGTTAAATAATAAAAAGAACTTTTTCACTTGTAAAGTTGTCTGTTGTCTTTTTGCAGCTGTGGAAACAACTTTAAAGTTTACGTATGTAGACAAGTACCCGGACGAGCCCCCGCTGTGGGAAATCTATTCCCAGGAGAACTTGGAGGAGAGCGACACAGAAGATATCCTCACACTATTACAACAGCAGGTCTGTCTTTGGATTTATCTGAGCAGTCGTGGGTCTGGTGCTGGTTGAGGGCTAATTAGTGGCTTCTAGATCTTTCCAGATGCTTAGACATAAGCCCAGAGCCTCGGGTGACAGCTTCACTGTTGTGTGTCTACATTTGTGATGTCGATGAAGCTCAAACCTCATTAAGAGGATCTGTGAAGAAATATAAGAAATCCTGCTGAGTCTTAAAGCTTCAGACATTCGTACAGCTGCTCCATGGGCACCACTACAGTAACAGTGTAATGAAATATGGGTGCATATTAATAACACAATAACAGTGTATGTTCATTGAACTGTGCAGTGATGCATGTAGCGAGATGGAGACAACTTTAAATGTTTACAAAGCGTTTAAAAGGATATATGTGTCATTTTTATCAGATTGAAGCTTTATACTGGCCATGCACGAGCAGGCAGACGTTTGGACCTTCTCGTGTGATGGTTTTTTACATTGTAGATTCTCACTGAAGGCATCACAACTATGATTGAACACATGTGGAATTATGTAGTAAACAAAAAGTGTGAAACACCATAAAACTGATTCCCAACAGTCTTGAAGGAGTTCAGAGATGCTGAGCACTCGTTGGCCCTTTGCCTTCACTCTGCGCTCCATCTCATCCCAAACCATCTCCACTGGGTGTAGGTCAGGTGACTGTGGAGGCCAGGCCACGGTGCAGCGCTCCATCACCATGTGATGTGTTCATGTTGTATCTACAACGTCCAAAGTACTAAAAATAAAGAAAAACATTGAAGCTGTGTCCAAACATAGATATCAGCAGCAGCAGCGGGAGGGTTCGGCACTTAATGAGAAAATTTACTTTAATTTCAATTGTGTATTTTTTATGTGAACTGAAGAAGCTTCACAGGTGAAACATCTCCAAGAACCTTACAGAAGCTTGCTTTCCAAGCTCCTTAAACTACACAGCAATAATAATAATAATAATCTAAATGTAGGCGACATCAGACGTCTCTCCATCTCCTTACTGCAAAAAGAAAAGTGTTGAACTGTTCTTGGACAGTTGGTGAAATGTGGCTGTGTATGTTTGTTTTCACAGGCAGAAGAAAACTTGGGCATGGTGATGATCTTCACCCTGGTCACAGCTGTTCAAGAGAAACTTAACACAATTGTTGATGTGATGAAAAATAGGCAAGAAGAGGAAAAGCGGAGGAAAGAGAAAGAGGCCCAGGAAGCAGAGAAGGTAGAACCCAGACGGGATTTATGACCATTCACACTCTGCTCGAGTGCATGTAACCAACCAAGGTTTTATTATAACAGTAGTTGCTTTCAACAGGTGGCTTTCCAGGGAACAGTGGTAACCATTGAAAACTTCCTGGCATGGAAAGCCAAGTTTGAGCTGGAAATGGCTGAACTGAGGAGAAAAAGACAGAAAGAGGAGGAGCAGGCAGGAAAACCCAAACTGACAGGTACACGGTGTTACTCAAAGACACCAGAAACTGTAAAGATGATGACAT